TATATATATATATATATATATATATATAATCGGTTCAGATATTTATTGGATCGGATCAATGTATATATGAATATTCGATTCGATTATACTGAATCTCATATTCGAATTCGGATTTTTGAATACCGTTTCTCATCCCATTGTTTCTCAGAAACCAAACGGACCCTAAATGAAGCAAAATTGGATTTACATTTTTACACATGCCCGATTTAATCAAATCCATTTTTGCAGCCACATGGAATCTAATTTGATAATCCAAAATTGATTATTGATATTTGAATTCAAATAGAATCGTGTGCATTAATTTATATAAAATAAATAATCAACTTTGCACTTTTAAGTATTATTAGCTAAAATTTAGGTGGCCTTTTAATTGGATAGGATTCAATTTCAAATCGGGGCAAATGAATACAACTTGTCAAAACTAATAGTGCAACTTATGCTTAACGTGAGCAGGCTAGCCAAATGACTTTGGTCTTATCTAAACTTGGGTTGGATTAAGTTGAGGCCTCGTATAAAATTCGTATATGTACATATAGATGAAATTATATACACATTTTCAATGAATTATACTTTTAAATTGGGCCATAAAGCCTAAAAAAAAAGATGATTATATAAAAAATATACACATTATTATTTTTTAAACTCGACCAACTTGTTAAAAGCCCAACCAGAGCATAAAGCCAACCTAAGTTGTATTTGGGTTCGAATGGGATACCAGAAAGATATTCAAAAAACTTATGACCAATCAACTCGTACCATAAACATGGTAACCAATTAGGTGGTATTTATCAAAATTAATGGGTGGTGTCTTGATTGATAAAATCTCTTTTGGTACCATATCTTTCTAGCGTCATGAATTTTCCCATTGGGTTAAGCTAAAATTGGGAGCTGATAAAGATGGACTTTAACTTGAGTTGGGTAAGGTGCAAATCGTTGGTTGGTAAGGTCTCCTGTTGGTTGTGGCGGAGACTTGGGGTCGAATTAGGTTGCATCTGAGTTGAGGGGTATTTAGGTTTGGGGGATGGGTTACTCACGTTGTGTAGCCCCTTGGAACTTGAGTTGGGCCAACTTGAATCCGAGGTTTGCACCTAACTTGCGCAAGTTGCACCCCTACTTGTCGAAACTTGTTGAACACACAGTTTCGACAAGTAAGGGTGCAACTTGCGCAAGTTAGGTGCAAACCTCGGATTCAGGTTAGCCCAACTCAAGTTGGACGATCCATGTCAGCATGCCTCTCATTTGAGAGAAGCTATTTATCTATTTTTTCCATTTCTGCATTTTTTATTTTCTTTTGTTTTAAAATATAAAAAATAACCATTGCACTAGATTAATAAAGCTAAACAATATTAGAGAGAGGCCTTTGGGTTTTCAAAGGCATCTTATTTTAATGCATGTTATTATTACATTTAAAAGAGAGAGAAGAGAGGGAGTATTAACAATAATTACTATATTTTAAAATTTATAGTATTAATAATAATTACAATATTTTTAATAATTAACAATATTAACTATATTATTAAAAATACTTTTAATTACAATTTAAAATTTAATTATATTATGTACAGTTTCAAATTAATATATTTTATTAATAAATTCAATATTTTAATAAACATTATTAATAATAATTACAATATCTTTAATAATTAACACTATAAACCATATTTATTAAAATAATGTATTTATTAATTAATATAATGTACGTTATAATTTATTAAAAACCACTATTAACAATTATAGTATTTATTATTTAATAGTAATTAAATAATTGTATTATTTTATTAATTAACAATGTTAATTGTTCTTTTAATTAATACACCATTTTTAATAGTTATAGTATTATAAATTAATTAAAAGTATTTATTAAAACACTGAATTTATTAATTAACAATATTTTTAATTAGTATAATACTATTAATAATTACAGTATTTTAATTAATTAACATTATTTATTAAAAATAATGCATTTCTTATTAACAATAGTTTTAATAATTACAGTATTAATAAATAACTATATTTTACAGTATTATTAATTACAGTATTTATTAAAATACTCTATTTATTAATAAGAAATATTAATTTGAAACTATAAGTAATATAATTAAATTTAAAACTATAATTAAAATTAATTATATATAAATACAATTTAAGCTGTGAATATTATAAAATTACATTTAATGAACATAAATTAGCCAAGAAAATAACCAAAAATAAAGTACCAATGATTAAAAAATATCCAAGAAATTACCAAAAATGGATTAACATGATTTCTAATAAATATGATAAATTACCAATGATTTAAAAATATAACATTAAATTTCTTTTTGAGATAAGCTATTTATCTATATATTCTTTGCTTTTTTGTTTTAAAAATATAAAAAAATAATTATTTTTTATCATTATTAGATTAATAAAGGTGCACACTATTAGAGAGAGAGAGAGAGGAAGGGAAAGTTAGGGAAACATTAAGGGTCCATACACATCGAGTACACCTGCCACGGCAGCTTCACCGTACACGGCAAGCCTATACATGTTCATGGGTCGAGTAGCCCGATGGGCCGGCTCGGCCCCCCCAGACGGGCTTGAGCATGCATTTTAGCTCACGGGCTTGACCTCGAGCCTAAAAGCCCGAGCCCGACTATTTTATGTATGGGTTGGGCTCGGGATTTGTTAAAAAAGCCCGACTTGACTTTTGTATAAAACCCTAAATATTCTAATCGGCTAACCTCTCTCTTCTCACTCATCTCTTTCTCTTAGTCGAACGAACTCAACTCTCACAAGTCAAAGCCTCGCACAGCTAAACACTCTAAAGAAGACAGAACTGGCGAGCATTCTCACTGGTGCAACCAATGAACTCCGATGGTGACTAGCAAGTCCCTCTCTCTCTCTCTCTCATTCCTCTTCTCACTTATCCTTCTCTCTCTGAATCTTAGTAGCTCATTTATCAGACGCGAGTCATGCGAACTCAAGCACCGACGAACATAGGCACCGATGGTGAGTCCTCTCTTTCTCTCCCTCTTCATTGTTCGGTTGTTCCTCTTCTCACTTATCCTTTTCACTCTCTGAATTCAGTTCATCTCATTTATTATATGCGAACTCAAACACTGGTGGTGAGTCCTTTCTCTTTGCCCTTTTGTTATATTCCTCTCTTATTGTTTGCCCGACGGCAAACACGGACACAAACACAGGCACCGACGGCGAACACAGACATAGGCACCGGCGACGAACACAGACACATGCGCCGACCTATCTTTTTGTTAGGTCGGGCTTCGAGCTTGGGCCCGGGCTTTGGATTTTTTATTAGGGCCAGGCTCGGGCCTAACAAAATCCTGTTTATGAAGAGTAAATGCCTAGCCTAGCTCGACCCATGAACAGGTCTAGGCAAACCCAAGTTTGCGAAGCGGCTCGCAATGCTGGCCGGAGGGATTGGAATCACACCCATCTATCAAGTGATCCAAGCAATCTTGAGAGACCCAGAAGATGATACGGAGATGTACGTCGTGTATGCGAATCACACCGAAGATGATATATTGTTCATAAGGGAGCTTGATGGATGGGCGATTAAAACCATCTTCATATAAAATTACTAGGAGTTACCGGAATGGGAGAGTTGTTCGCTCTTCTTCCTCTCAGTTCCTCTTCTTTTATTTTCTCGGTCGGCGGGTGTTACGGCCTACGGGGATCGATGAAGTAAAAATGAAGGGAGTGACCTCTCCCACATCGATGAGATTCACATTGTATCAAAGAAGGTGAAAGGGTGGTGGAGAGGGAGGGGAAGAGGTGGAACGGTGATGAAACAAGGTACTCTTCTTCTCCTTCCTCCACCTTCATCTTTGTTAATTGTCTTCGTAACGGTGAACAGAGAATTACCATCGGCGAAGGGCTTTCTCATTTGAACTAAATGCCCGAAGACTAAACACTATCGTTGTTGCAGGCGACAACGGCTATTGCAACTTTCAAACAATAAGGGTATTTTATGAATTTTAAAATAATTACCACTCACATGATGTCGTATGTAGACTTGTTCATTGGCCGGGCCAGGCTTTTACTTTGTATTAACAAATTTTTCTAAGGCCCGAACCCGAGCTCGGCCCTCATAAAAAGCCCGGGCCTGGGCCCGAGCCCGAAATTTAGCCCATACTGTTACTACTGCTAAGCGGCTGAATAGAGAGAGAGAGAGATTATAAAGAAAAGAATAAAAAATGTATATATTAAATTATAAATATATATTTTAATAAATATTATATTATTTATACATTTTATATAATATATAAAATACATATTATATATTTTATAAAATATATAATGTTGAGTCGGGCCGGGCATTTTTGACAAATCTCGAGCCCGGCCCGAAACATAGTCGGGCTTACTGTGTTAGGCCTGAGGGCCTAATTACATGACCAAGCCCGACCGAGGTGCGGACCAGGCCATCGGGCTACCCGACCCATGAACAAGTCTAGTCATATGTGAAGTGTGATGGAAAATTAACGACAAGGGAGGTTTTAGACAATTGTCATAAAACTTAAGTACCACAAGACAATATCTAAACAATAAGAATACTGTTTATCAATTTCGTAAACAGTAGGTTAGTTTAAGAGATTTACCCTTAATTTAATTATGACTATAAAATTAATACATGAATTAATTTAATTATTAACGAAGTAATTTTTATTTAATTACTAATTTATTTTAATTAAAAATTATTAATATAATTAATTTAAATGATTAAATTATTTTTTGTAATAAATTACTAAAATTATTAATATAATAATCAGTTTTTATTATTTTACTTTTCCTTCATAAATTCCGTACATCGCACGGATCTCTGTTCAAACAAGTTCGACTATGATACCGGAAAGGCATCATGCCGAAAAACTTATTATGTTTTTCCCATTAAAATATCGAGGATGTATTAAAGGGTTGTTCGATCGTGCGGTGCTTACTTGTTGGAATCGGAATCTCACACTGCGCCAGAAAGCAACAGCGTATGTTAGCACCACTTTGCTTTTCATTTTTTCATTTTTGTTTGTAAAATTCCCACAAATTATTTTCGTCACCTCGTTTTTGTTACCCTTCACTCTCCATAACACTTCTTCGAATCCGAATGAACAAACAGAAAGAAATGAAAATAACTTATTAGGGTTTATCTCCGTCTCTCTTATATCCCGCGAATCTGAAACCCTAAAAGGCTGAAGCTTTTTCGATTCTTTAATCTTCGGTTTCTCACTCAATTGGCCTAATTGCTTCAGCGGAGCTCTCTGCAACATTGGTATTGGATTTCTGCAGCATTCCCACATTGAAAGGCAGCGGCGATTTCATATCTTTGCGTCTATTTATCGTCGAGATTTTCCATTTGAGGGTTTTCCGTATCCTGGTATCCGTCACAGTCTCCGCTTGCATGTATATAACTTATTTATTTATTTTTGTTTTCATTACTTCTTTGTACATGTAACGAGGTCTGTTGCCTGGGGAGGGAGGGGTGATGGTAGTTCTCGCCAAGGGGTATGCAGTTTGGTGCATTGCGAGTGTTAGCCTCTATATTTGTAATTAGTTATCAAAGAGTGCTTTTAATGGACACAGAAGGAACCAAATTTATGAAATTTTAGTAGTCTTTTCTCTGTTCGAAGGATAGACCCAGTTTAACTTTGAAGATTTGCTAAATTAAATGTTTTCAGAGGCCTTCGAAGGTTAGGAATGGGAGTTGATTAAGTCTTAAGAAGGAAGCACGTGTTGGAGGCACTAGGGTTGCAGTTGGATTCGTCTGGTATTGGCTAAATTGGTTGGTTTAAAAGAAATCATTACTCCTTTATTTATTTATTTTTGAAATATTTCATTTGATTGGAAAGGTGCAATTGGACGTTCTGAATTGAAATTTATCTTCCTTTTGCATTGGAACTGCCTATAAATATGCATATGCTTTGCTTCATTTATTGCAAGAGATGCTTTACGAGGCTCCATGCTATATTTCTTTTTCTGGATTTTACTAGAAATGAACGTTTTCCGAATGAATATACTAAGAAACTTCATGCTTCATGTTCTGCAGGGAATTCCCCAGTGCGTTGATCTGGACAGAGTCTAGGGCGATTGTAGTATACTGTGGCCATAAGATATAGTTGACGATACAAACACGCTGCCCCTTTGAGGTGGTTTTAGTATAGGGATTTTGGACAGTCTGATGACTCATTCCTTGTTTATATGTTAGGTTTTAGAAGTTGAAATGTACGGACAAGAGAACTATGCTCCTCAGTTCAGGCCTGGTCCTGCAACAAACCCACAGTTTCAACAAGGTCCTGCCCCTCCCCCTTACCAACAAAGTCTTCCAGCCCTACCACCTACTGTAATTCAGCAAGGCCATTTGGCTCCACCACCTCATGTGGTTCAGCCAGGCCCCCCTCCAGTGTATGGCTCACCTGCCCTAGCTCCTCCAATTCAGCAAGGCAGATCACAACCACCTTTGCTTCAGCAAGTTTCATCTATGCAAGTTCCACCACCTGCAACAGTAAACATTGGTCAATCTTTCCTGCATCCTCCATCATCAGTCCATGGAAGTTCCCCCATGATGCCTACCAGTTCAACTGCTCCACAGAGTTCCCAGTATTCTTCAACCTTAACAAGTACAAACATGCATCATGTGCCCCCACCAGTTCCTCCACCTATAGGTCCATCTCTTACAGGAACAAGCCATCTGGAGATGGTACGGGGCCCAATTCTTCCTAGAGTGCTACCTCCTCCCCCTTCACAAGGACAAATGTTGTATAGAACTCCTATTCATCCACCACTAGCTGGTAATTCCCAGGGTCCTCAAAACATACAACTATTACGCCCCCCACCTCCTTCAAGCTTTGTTCCTGTCACTCCTGCTCCATTTGCATCTTTTGGACATTCTCCAATTGAAGATGCTCATCCACCTTCTATGCCACCTCCACCACCTCCGCCGCCACCCTCTTCACCCCCACCTCTTCCACCATCACCACCTCCATCATCCTCTCCTCCAAATCATTCAGTCAGGACCAACAATGTACAGTGTTCTGATAAATGTATCGATTCTTCTGTGGGTCCAGTTGATTATTATGTTGACAAAACCATGTGTCCTTCCCAAACCACAGATGATATGCTCACACTGGATAGCCATCTAAATGGTAAGGGCGCAACTGGTGCGACGATGGAATCTGTGGCAGAAGATGGATTGTCATCTGAGGAGCAAATAACGTTGGATCTTCCTACACCTCCACCTAAACCGGAAAATGAAGAAGTTGTACGGAGGATTGAGGTTTTATGCCAGTTTATTGCTAAAAACGGTCATCATTTTGAAGAGATGGCTCGCAAAAATGAATCAGGGAATCCAGATTTTGCTTTCTTGTTTGGTGGTGATTCTGGAAGTGAAGCTGCAATTGCACACGAGTATTTTCAGTGGGTCAAAAGGAAACTTCATTTAGAATCAAGATCATGTAATGAGTCTGAGCAATGTGATTCGTCATTCAGGCATTCAGAGTGTGAGTCTTCAATGAGAGCCATAGATGAGGGTGCATCTCATTCACCTGCAGATTCTGACATGGATATGGAAGGTTGGTGTAGTTAATACTTAACACTGTATGCCAACGTTATTTTTATTTGTTCTTTGCACACCCGTACTTTCTAGTTCTGTACTTTCTCGCTTATATTTGAGTGGACTCATGAAAGCCATGCTTTCTTTTTTACCTCAACTATATTTTAATGCTTTTGTTTTGCCTTGGAGATGCTCAGAGATTGAAGCTTGCTATTAATCTTTGATTTGTTGATGGCATTTATACTCTCTATAGTTATTTATGACGCTTGGAGTTCTATCTTTAGCCCTTTTCTTTTTTCACCATCAGTCGTCTGTCTAGTTTAGTCATGTGATAAGTTTAGTTGGTTGTTCCCTGAACAATTATAACATGGTTGAGCCATAATATGAAAACAAGAGTTCATTGCTCATTATCTAAGTGTTCTCCCAACTATATGGGGTCAGCTACATGAATCCTGTTTCACTATTCCATTTTGTTTAGTGCCATATCCACTGTTAAACATAAACGCTTTCTTACTACTTGAACCCATGCCCTTTTTGATTTGTCTCTAGCCCTTCTAACCCCTTCCACTTGCAGCAGATCACTCTGGGGGTCATTGTATACTATAAGGATCTGTTATCATACATCCATATTTCTATTTCCTAAAGCATTTTTGTTCAACTTTAGGTTGATCTCAATCTTAATTGAGCTTTCAATTACTGAACTTCCACACAAACAAGTTATCTTTTGCTGAACAAGTGGAAGAATATAGGAATACTGGTGCACGGAATGTAAGAAAATCTAGGGAATGCCACTCCAAAGATTAAGTAGTATGATTTATGGGTGTTGTACACTTGTAATTGAGGTGTAACTCTTTGTCATTAGTGATAATATACCTTTCCTATGAGGGGAAAAGGATTGCAGATTGCAGCAGGGAAGTTTCTAGTTGGATTCCTATATTGTCTGTCTTCTCATTGAAAATGAACATGCAATTATTTTACCATGGACCTTTCAACAAGATTCCTCCAAAATCAAGTTGGTAGGTAACTATAACCAAGTCGGTAGATTGTTTTTCCTTCATTTTATCTGAAGCTATTTCTTAAGTACTGAAGAAGTCCTTATAGCGTAAAGCTTTTCTTGTCATTGAGGACACACCTTAGGAGTTTCATAATCCACTCTTTCATGGTTAATAATGTGGTGACTTCTTGGCTGATGAGTCCTTGTTTTTTTTTTTTTTGGTGAATGTGGAAAAGGCAAAGAAAAGCAGAAAACCTTAAGCAATCCATTGGTGGGAATTTAAAATTAGTAAATCTCATACTAAGCCTTAAGCAATCCTTAATTTCTGATATTTACCCTATTAAAAGCATTTAGATGAATAATTTCTCATTTTATGCTTTATCTGCACTGCATTTTGTGTTAAGGTGATTATGATGCATTATATTTCTATTATATCATATTAAGAAAGGTTGTACAACATATACAAAATAATAGAAATGAAAGGCCATAACCATAACACCGAGTAATAAAAAGGAAAAAAAAGCCATGTTGACGTTGATATTTTAATCAACATTTCCCAGTCTAAATCTAACTAACTGAACCATGATTGAGATCCCTAGATATCCATCTCAGCTTGGCAGATGGGGATGCATACAACCCCCTTATCTCAGAAGCATGGTTAACCAATTTCCATGAACTGGTTTCTCTGATCTGAAAAAAAATTCTCTTATAACACAGACTGATGGAATCATGGAACCTAATGAATTCCTAGTTATTTGAGAAATGCAGTTCATCCATGCCGATGGATCCAGGACGTTAGAGAATCTTCTGCAATTAATTTATGATTGCCTAATGAAATTCCTTTTTCTAGGCTTGCTGACCAATGGATCGTTATGGTTGGAAGGCTAAAGTTTTTCTTTTCTGTTGGTTGTCTTGTAGATGATGTCAACCAATCTGACAAAGAGCAGGAGTTTGGTAACATGAATGAAGGACTAAATGGTGAGCCTATTTCTCTGTATGATGTAACACCTGTTGTAAAGGAGCAATTGCATGCACCTCAGTGTTCAATAGAATGCCCAACAGCTAGGGCATCTGTATTGGATGAAGAACAAAAAGGTTTGGATTTTGTATTTCTTCTCTGTACATGTCTTTTCTTTATTTTGGGTATTTCAAAGTTAAGATTGGAATTTTAACATATCACTCTGGCTCAAAATTATAGTGTATGTGGTGATCAATTAAGCATTTAAATTAGGGGTTGTAAGAGAAGATAGGGAATGGGGATAACCAGGCTGTGAATTAACTTGTAGGTTTTTGAAATGTGAATGTTCTTTTTAAGCCATAGTTGGTTTTATATTTGTTGCCCGTTTGGGAAGGCTTTCACACAGTTGCTTCTGGCTTTGTGAGGTGGGTCCTACATGGACAGCCTATAAGCTATGTTTGGTGAAAAACCTGGAAGGCCCAAATCTGCTGTCACTCGGTCAAAAAAAGGGTTTCTGGTGAAGCTTGTTTTAGTAGCTACTAGCTTCTTCAGTGGCTCAGTGAAATCTGCTCAATCAAAGCTTCATCCCTCTCAAACAGGCCCTTATTTGGCTTGCTACCCATGTTCTTTGGGCAGTAAGGAGTGTTTTAATGAAACTACTATGGTTATTTATCAAAAAATCAATTGAACACTTAAAGTTTAGTGTTAGAAAAGTCTTTTAGTGGGGAGGGAATATGTAGCCAGACCTGGTTCAAACGCTCCCTTTTGTATTTCAAGGACAGACAGTTGATCTACTTGTCTTGTGGCTCAAAAACATAGACTTAGTTATGCAAATTTTGAGGCAGTCCAAGATTTATTAGCATTTGTGAAATGAAGAGTCAACAGTTTTGTATCAGAAAGTTTCCTTTTTTTGGAGGGGGGGTCATGTGGGTGGGAGAACCTCTAATGAGGTAGAGTTTCTTATATTGTTTTGAGGTTCAATATGTTTTTCATTTTCTGGAAGCCCTCTGTCTAGGAAGGGTGATTACAGAACCTTTGAAATGATGCGTATCTTCATGTTTGAAGCAGCTCTTTTGTATATCCGTTTATGCTACACAAGAAGTCCTGCAAGGGGCAATTTCGTCTTGTGGTTGGGGGTTTATTTTACTTCTGTTTAGCCACTTTGGTACCCCCACACGTTCCTGCATCCCTAACAAGTTTATGTGTTAACTTATTAATACACAAATGTTAGATACAAGAAGAATGACATTTTCTGAAATTCTCACTTCGTTTTCTTGTCTTGGTTTATCGCTTCTTCATATTTACTTTTGTGTTCTACTTTTTTTATTAGTTTTTGTGTCATCTTATTTTATCTGCAGTGGTAATAAGAATTTAGTATATTAGTTGAACAGAGAATGAGGTTGAGCGAGATCACCAAGCTTGTTGAGACATAGGGAACAGCCCCTCTGGTTATGTACTCTCCCATTGTACAGCCTCTGGTTGCATATGGGTCTTTTATTTTTTTTTATTTTAATGAATTGATACTCTACCTCTCCTAAAAAAAAAGAATCAAGTTGAGTGAGATCACCAAGCTTGTTGAGACATAGAGAATTTCTTTAAGTTTTATATTCCTTTTACCCCTAATTTTTTTCACCAATCTGAAAGCAAGTGCTTTCTTTAGGTTTCCCCTTTTCCCCATTGAAGTTTATTTATGATTTATCATATACTAGTAGAAGGGTATGTGCTAAGCATGTGTATCTAATGTGAAAAAAATATACAATAACAAAGATGTCAAGGAATTGAAATTATTACCTATAACTTAGTCACCATTTATTTTTAAAATGAGGCTTTAAATGCATTAATTTACAATTGATCTCTTGGACCATGCCTATATGGATGATATAAGATGATTGGCCTTTAAGATCCTAAAAATAATTAGGAAGGATGTTGCCCATAAAGAATTGTTGAAATACAAAGACAGGTGATCAATGGAGGTTCAAGTTAACTTCCTGTTAAATATAGGGTTAGACTCTCCTTGAACATATAATTCATCCATAGAGGCTGGTTTTGCATGGGTTATGTTCTTAATTCTCTAAATGTATGGATTCTATATACTGATTGTAAGCAACCTAAAGAAAAAAATAATAAGAAAGGACCAAACCTTTTAGATTCGAAAATAAGTGGCTTACCCATCCAGATTTTGTGAAAAAAGTGAAGGAATGGTGGGGTGAGGAGGAGAGGGGGGTAAGATGGAAGGGGATCAAGTTTCATAAGAAATTAAAAAGGTTGAGAGCCAAAATAAAAGAGTGGAATAGAGATCATTTTGGTAGAATTGAGGAGCAAAAATTGTGCCTAATCTCTCGAATAKARAACTTGGATGTAAAGGAATCTCAAAATGGGTTGACAGAGGAGGACAAAGTGTTAAGGAGACAGTTGAAAAAGGATTTGGAAGAGGTGTTACTGAGGGAAGAAATCAGTTGGAGACAAAAATCTAGACACAAGTGGATTAAGGAAGGCGATGGGAACACTAGATTCTTCCATGATTTGGCAAATGGGAGGCGAAGAAAGAATCTTGTGACCAAGCTAGAGATAGGAGAGGAGGTGATTACCAACCAGGATGACAT